ATTCCAACTAAACGGTTACAGGAAACCTGGTTGCCCAGGCATTCGCGGTAGTAATCGTAAGTCTTTGTAAGTTCAATATAAAATGGGTTTAGATTTCCATTGTTGAAATATGGTCCAAAACTTATACATCTCGCCGAAGTATCTGTACATGCTGGCGAGATTTTTGGCGAATAAAGCGATTTTAGTGGGAGAATTTTCGATTCGAAGTGCCGTACAGACGAATCGACGATTGTAAATAGTTTGCCTTTATCATGTAGTATGTATATTGGTACCATGGAGTGCAAAGTCTTAAAAAATATTAGTCCAACAAAAGAGGAATAAAAGCAGAACACACACTATCGATTAGGCAAGTCAATTTCAATTTAAAATTTATATTTTATGACATATTTTTACTATGATATACATTACTATACTGACACTTGCAAGATTGGGCCGTTGTGGTTAGACATAGTGGAGAACTGTATTCTGATCCTCCCATGATGGAGAACTTTCGAAGTAATTTTACGTTGCATTATAAATTTAAAAGTGATAAAAACAGACACATTCAAGTGGCTTCCTACAGTTCCCTAAATTTTAAATATTTAGGTAACCCTTCTTTTCAACCAAATTTATATTGAATACACTTAAGACAGAGCAATATGATCATTTACAGGAAAGTGCAGGCGACTTGTACTTGCTGTCGATATATAAATAAATCGGGACAGTGTTAGTGTTGCCATGGAAACCATAACTTCTTATATTTTACATTTTTTTGTATAATTTCACAATCACACGACAATATATTTTCCCTCAGTCAATTTTTCTTAATAAAATAGCCTTAAAGTCCAGTTGAAGCTGCTGACGTGACAAAATATCGATTCAACATGATCACTGATTTCCACATGATGCGTCAAAAACACGAAACGCGTGTGATAATTTTCACTTTCAGGCCGCGTTTACGTTGCATCCGAAGTGTCAAACGTAGTAGTCCGTATGCTACGGCAAAGCACTCCGTTATGTCTTGTTTAATAAACGAGCAGGAGTGTTTTATAAGGTTTAAAGCCACGACCGCCCACGGCTTCAAACACGACTACAAATTCAATAGATATATACTGCCTTATTAGTATTCTTTATATAAAGAATACCAATAAGGACACGACTACAATAGATACTGCCTTATTAGTATTCTTTATTGCTGGCGAAGGCAGAACCCTATTCTTAACACGCGGTGGTTTCTCCAGAGTCCACTCGACCCGGTCTTTCGCGCGATCTATGTATTGTCACAATCTCGATTAAGCTTCAGGAAGTTTTTTTTTAACGAGGGAGGCGGTCAAACTTTATTTTGTATTGTGCGTTTGTGCAAGCAGCTTAATTAAAATTTTAATACGAGATCATACGAGTTTATATGTTGGATTGCAAACGAATATCAAAGAATAAATCAGGTAAGAATGGTTTTATTTCCTTCTGGTGATATACATGAAGGCATTTAGATTTCCTGCTTTATAGCATTCGATACAGAGGTATTGAAACATATGATCTCACGATGTCAATAATGACAGCTATCTTATTTTATATACAAGGAGCTTGAAAATGTACTTTGAATTTATTTGTTTGTGTGGCGATGAGTTTTATATAGTGTTCATTTTAGATGTTTATAGCAATGGTGCTTTCAGCACGTTTTAAAAACAAACGCGGACAGACGGACTGTTAATACTTGTGCACGTGATCAGGCATCCTATAGCAACCCAGTGTGGGGATTGTTGTCTGTATATATTAATTTTAATAGCAGGCTACCAGCAGTTACATGCAAATAGCATGTCAACTGACTTTTGTACAAGGCCGGGTATCATGCATGCCTGATAGCCTGTTTATATCTCTGAGATATCTCCATTGTTAAAGATGCGGTACAGTCCGTACGTATAAAACAAAGGCTTTGTTTACATTTCGGTATCGAAAATATAGAATTTTATTCGAGAACTATTTATATTTTCGTGATTATAGAGTATAATAAATTATAAAGACACAACAATCAAGCTTCGCAAAAACATAAAACGAAATAAAACCTAAATAATCTGTTTGTATAAAAGAGGGCTCCTCCTTTGTGCACGTGTGCAGATCAGACTGTACAGCATCTTTAACATAACATGAAATAATCCTACTGACCCATACTCATACATTCACCTGGCTGTGTCATGCAATATGTTTCCGGGTATGCTATTCTTGGGTTCACTAAATTATACGAAATTCCATGTATTGCCACCAAACACAAGACTAATACATAAAACAAACAATCGACTCACTCTGAAAACTGTGTTTTGTTTTACAGTTGACTCCTAGGCCTGTCACTTCTGTGACGTCATATGAAACCCAAGAATATTCTTCGATAATGCTCACAATTTCTTTCTTATATAGTTTTGTAGTTCTGACTGAGTACAATCTCTGACTGAGTACAATGAATGGTGTCATCTGAAGCTGACATATTAATTAAACAAAAATGTTAACAAATAGATTTTGTCTCCCTATCAGATTGTTCGGTTGATTTGCATACAATAGGGGTAGCCTTGAAGGTGCCATGTTAATAATAATTTGGAAAAAAACTGACTTAGTATTTCTACAGTGTGTCTAAAAAAAAAGTGAACCCTTTCAAATTCAAATTAGCTATATTGTAGTAACTTGACACCAGTCTAATTGCATTGAATTAATAGTTAGGTAAGAACACAAGGAATACTTCTATACTGACCTTTGACATTGTGCAAGGTGTTTGATAATTCAAATTGTACTTTTCCTACCTCATGAACATGTGTCTTAGGGGCTGTTTATTGTCAATATTGGAAGCCGGGTGATTTTAATGTATTGAAATAAGTCAACAGAATTCAAATGTTCTAGTTCAAGAAAATTATTATTGCTGCTTGAACAACCTTGCTGAATCGTGCACAGTAATTTATTTTAGCAGTTATACGTACATCAAAATAATCCTGCCTGGCATCTCGTCCTGGCAAAGCCGGATCATATATAGCCTCCTCCGCAGGCAACTCTTTGGCAAGAATTGGCAAAAGTATTATTATGAATAAAAAAATGGCAAATATGTGAATATTATAGGGTTATTCATAATATTTTTGCCGAAGAGTTGCCTGCGGAGGAGACTAGATCATACAAGCAGCCCCTTATTAAGCAAATTCTGCATGCTGCCTTTGATCCCTCGAGGGTGAGGCAGCACTTTCCTTGCGATAGTAACTTCTAGTATTAAGAATACAAATTAGGAGTGTTTTATCAGGTTTAAATCCACTGCACGTGACATATTATGGTTAACACGATTTGCCAATAAGCTTATGAATTATTAATGAGTGTTTGACATGTAGTATAAATACAATACTAGGAAACGTAGTGGGTTAGGTTAAAACGCGGAAGCGGATGCGGAACGGAACGGATGCGGAACGGATATGCGGAACGGATAATAATAATAATAATAATAATATGGGGTTAAAATGCGGAACGGAACGGATATGCGGAAATGCGGAAATGTTGAATGAAAAATCATGTCGATGAAAAATCATGTCTGTTTTTAAAAAACGTTTTATTCGCGTTCCGTTCCGCGTTTTAACCACATATCCGTTCCGTTCCGCATTTTAACCCCCAAATCCGTTCCGTTCCGCATTTTAACCCCATATCCGTTCCGTTCCGCATATCCGTTCCGTTCCACATTTTAACCCCTATCCGTTCCGTTCCGTTCCGCATTTTAACCCTATATCCGTTCCGTTCCGCATCCGTTCCGTTCCGCATCCGCTTCCGCGTTTTAACCTAACCCGAAACGTAGTAAATTTGTAACGAAATTGATTTGTATTCAGAGTGGAAAATGTAGTGGTCCGTGTAGTTATCTCCTGAGCACTGTTGAAGATCCCGTACAGATCGTGCTGAACAAAACCTCTGTTAAGCACAGTTAACCATGTAAGTACTACAA